CGACCTCCGTTTTTTTTTTGGCGAACATAAAAAGGGGGGTCTCGCCTGGTATGTGCTAAGTCTAGGTTCGGGACTTAACTCGGGTTCTCCTAAGCCCATACCATATTGCGACTTAGGGTTTAGATTTTTAACCTACAAGTGGTTTATATCAAGGAGTCGCCACTAATCGATTTGGGGTGGGTTGATTAGAAACCCAAATAAGGTGATGAGAGAATCACCTTATTCCTACGAACCAGAGATTAAATGAGTTCGGGGACTTGGTTACACTAGTTGGATAACTAATGCCCTTTTGGTACCTTTTTACCCTGTTCATTTCTGAAAACATTTATCAGGCAATTTTGATTGATTTTAGGACTTTTCTCCTAACATGTGAGGTGATCAAGCGAGTGCATAATCATAAACAATTAGCAGTCAAAATAGATATGCAGCCTAAGGTTCTAACCCTAACAAAGGCGACCAACATTTAAAACACAACAATTTATGCAATTAATATTCTAATTAAAAACAACATGCATAATAATACAACAATAATTTAAAACACTCAGGTATATCACATAATTTAGAAAAATATTATACAATACTATATCTAAATTATATACTAATAAAAATAATAATAAATTCGAAATTGTTTTAAAAAAAAAAAATTTAAAAAATATTAAAAACGGGTCGGGTCGCAGATCCGGGTCAACGGACCCGACCCATCGCGTTGACTCGGGTCGGATCTCCGATCCGAATCAGATCGGGCCCGGTCGAGGCCCAGTCTGGTCAATAAAGACGAATAGGGCCGGTTCGACCGGGTCGAACCGGCCCTATTCAGCTTGCAGACCGGTCCAACCGGTCTGCAAACCGTCTCAGGGACGGCTCCAGCGTGTCTAAGCACGCGGGAGCTTCGGCCGGTGAGATCCGGCGATCTCGCTGGACGACCCAGGCCGCCCATGGCTTGGGTCTTCACCTCATAAGACTCACTTACCTTCTCCGACGACCGGGACCGCCATCCGACTGCTCGTTCGTCGGCCGGCGACCAAAACAAAACTAGCCTCTTTGAGGCATTTCATCGAGCAGGTGGGGGGAGCAACAAAAATCAAGGGATCTTGACCTCCTCCGGCGATTTGGTCGGCTCCGACAACCACGGCTCGCCTCTGACAGCGAGTGGGGACCGGGATCAACGATGGTATGGGCCGGGATTCGCGTGAAACGGCCGGCGCGAGTCCCAGCCAAACCAAGCCAAAAAACAGGGGAAAACAGGGGGTCTCGGCCGTGAGGGCTCACCGGTTGGCGACGCTTCTAGGGGGCTTCTGGCTGGTCTGGGGGCGTCAACGACCGCTGCTAGTTCTCCTTTTAGCTCCGGCGTGACCTCGGTATGCACTCTTTCTCTCTCTGTTCTCTCTGTTCTCTCTGTCTCTGTTTTTCTCTCAAATGGCCGACCCGCGCGCTCTCTCTCTCTCCGGTTTATATAGCCGCCGATGACCCCCCCTTCTCTGCTCACGTATGCCTGTTGACGACCGCCTGCACCCACCTACTCTGTCCCGTGACTTTCGTGGCCATTTAGGCCGGTGCAGGGGGGGTCGGTTCTGACGCCAGAGAAGAAGAGAGGAAGAAGGAGGGAGAGAGGCCGGGTTTTTGGGGAGGACAGGACTAGCCATTAATGCCAGTCCCATTGGCGTGCTTCCCTGGCCTTCCTCTAGCCTGATAGGGACGGCGAGGAAGCTCGGCCGTTCGTCGATTCGACGGCCAGGAGCAGATCAGAACAGGGGAGAGGCCGGCGAGGGGGAAGGAGAAAGAAGGAAGAAGGAGCTGGGCCGAGCCGGGCCCAGCTCGCGCGAGGGGGGAAAGGAAAAAAGAAAGAAAATGGGCTGGGCCCGTGCGGGGAAAAAAAGAAAAAAAGAAAAGGGTCGGGTCAACCCGGTCTCGACCCGGCCCAACTCGGATTTTTTTTTTAAATTTTGAATTTTTTTAATGTTCTAATAGACCCTATTAATACTAATGTGCCTAATTTCTATATGTAATGCATTTAAATAGAAATATTTTTTTGTTTTAGGAATTAAAGAAAATTAACTCCTAAATTTTATGCAATTAATTTTGGGCAAATTAAAATAGGTGTCAACAGTTTCCATATAACTGAAGTTCAAATGTCCAATTCAAAAAACAAGCCTAAACACAAAAAATAATTAAAAAGATCATTTGAAATTCATTTGAGGAGGAGGGTTTGTTTGGATCAGGAGGGTTGTGGCTATCAAGAGGGTTGCTGCTATCAAAAGGATCAAAGGGCACTCGAACAACACCATAACATTGCAGCTTGATGCAAGTCTCATCAACTTTCATTACATACTGTTTGTTCAACTTCTTCTTCGGAGCTATGCATCTGTCCTTGCATTTCTGATCGCATGGCCCTCATGTCATCCTTGATTGCAATATGATTACCCTATATTTCCTTCAACATATTGAACAGCTGAAAGGCACTGGGATTACTGGATTCACTTACTTCAGAAAGCTCACTTTTATTCCTCTCTTCAGACTCCCCCCCAATATAAGCAGCCTCTTGAGAGTTCTTATCATCTTGCTTTGATTCTGTATCAACTGCAACTGATTCAGTTGTTTCTTCCATGATCTGATCTGGAGGTACAGGATCTGTAGTTTGTTCTTCCATTTCAAAATCATTTGTTGTTTCCCTTTCACTCAGAAGAGTTTTCTACAGCTCATTTAGCTTTTCATTTTCTTACATTTTCATTCTCTCCTCTTCTTCTTTTCTTTCCGTCTTTTCTCTAAGTTTGGCAGTCTCTGCTTGCCTTTCTGCTTCTTTTCCATCTCTGCTAGCCTTTCTTCTGCTAGCTTTCTTCTTTTCTCTTTTCTTCTATCTCTCTGTCTCTCTGTTCTTTTATATCATCAGATTCCTCACCCTTATCAGATTCAACAATAATCTGCTCCTTGTCTTCTTTAGATTCATCTCTAATCCTCTTTAAGAAGGATTTCACTTGTTTCTTCTTTGGAGAAGGTGCAAACTTACTTGAGGGGCCTTTTCTTTTCTCTGAACTCCTTTTCTCATCTTCTCTGTTCTTGATTGCTAAGGCTAGCAATTCCCTTGACAACTTGTCTTCATTCATTCCAACCTTTACGACCTTTGTCCATCCTTTCTTGGAGGACCTAAAATGCGTCTTCAGCAACATCTCTTCCCCAACAGACATCTTAGGAATTGACTTTTTGTACAAGTCATTGGGAATTTCAATGTGCAGATGGTTAAAGATCTTCGTGATCAATGAACCATAAGACAATTTCCCTCGACTCTTTCTCACTATTCTGTACATATGGAAGAAAATGGTATGTGGAACACCATTCAATATTGCCCATATAAGTTTTGCCTAATATTTTGAAATATCATTTTTGGAAGTAGCTTTGGGTCGGAGATAATTAACAAGAACTCTGTGGATAACAATTTCTTTGAGTGGGAGAAGATTGCGGGAAACATGAGATTTTGACTCGAGTAAAACTGGAATCTACAGTAAGAACTTTATAAGAACTTTCAGGAGTGGCAGGGAGATGTGTGAACTCATAATGATTGACTCCAATGATTTCAGCCAAATCTTTCACAAACAGATCATAAATGACATCTCAAACAGTAAATTGAATATGATTTGGAGAAAGGAAAGCAAGATTTGAGTAGAAGTAGGCGGTGAGTACAGGATACATAGGTTCAAATTTTGTACACAATTTCTCAAAGTTCAGATCGGAGAAAAATTTGTGAATAAAAATGCAGACAACTCAGCACCCCATACATCAAAGTAATTAAGGCCTCGTTTCGGTTCAATACGGAATTGGATTCCTCAAGAAATAGGATTCTAATTCTCACTATCTTCATACCTGGAAAAAATTAGAGTATGGATTTCGTTCCATATAATATAGAATCCCTAAAAAAATGCAGAATCGGATTTCTTGGTTATAGCTGGGCTTGGGATTCCATTTCACATTTTTATAATCACAACACTATGATAAACAAAATTCCACCATTGACCGTCGCTGCCATCATCAGTCACCGATCACCGGAGAAGGTGGCTAGACCTCGCCACTGGTCGCTAGCCGTTGGACTTTGCTGTCGGTTGACAGACTCGGCTACTCTCCCCGGTCGCCAAACTTCCCTGTTGATCATCGGTTGCTGAGAAGTATTCTCTCATTGAGTCCAAAATATTTTTCCACAATCCGTACAATTGAAAACGAATCTACTTGGAATAGGAACCCGTTCGAGTATTTCTTGTCATGGAACCAGACGAGACCGTAGCCAATAAGCCGACCAAGCAAATAAGAGAAACTAAGCAACCAAACGACAAGAGATTAGAAGCTAATAGTCACTTCCCAACTTTATATGATGAATTTTGCTACCGAGTACCGCCAGAGCACTTATTAAGCAAGTAATGAAGGAAATTTTATGTCTTCAACGTAGAGTTTTATCTCGTGTTGTAATCACAATCTTAAAAATTGAAATATTTGTAATTATATATAATAAGTATCTTGGGGATGCTCGTCAATAGCGTTTTCTACATAAAGATTACTTTCTTTAACCAAAGACTTTGTCCTCCATTATTTCCTTTCCTACGGTTAAGTCATTCCCCTTGCTTGCAAGAAATTTGAAATCGTAAAAGAAAGAGGGGCTAAACAGATTAGGTTAGCACATTAGAATTATTGATATCTTACCGATTGGACGGCAAGTGTTTACATCTAATCCGACGGCGATGGCTCACAGACTACAGTCAACGGTAGGCGAGACGTAATGGCGGCCAGGGACATTTCAAGGTAAATTCCGCATGAGAGTAGGGTCAATTTGGTCATTTTAGGGTGACTCTAATATTAGAGAGAGTCGTAATCCTTTCTCAAATTGGTCATATTTTTCTGATATAATTGGAAGAAACCTCTTATTTATATTTAGTTAAATTTACGTATCGGTGATCTCTGTAATTTATAACTCGCACAGATTGATGTTAAACGACACCAAAGAAGGGCATAATAATAGCACTTCCCTTATTATATCTATTAATGACTTTCGTTTTAATCCATCCATCTTAGGAACAGCCATTTGGACCAAAGCCTAGCTTTCTTCCAGCAACATCAAACACAACTTCAAACGTTTTCTGCTGCACATTACCATAAATGACCAGATCACTGTCGGCACCATTCGCTGCAAATGCTAGGCACACTTGCGAGGCCGTCACCATGACCAATATCCCGCTAAGGTCCAAATCAATGTCGACTCCCCCAGCGAAAGAGAATGTTATGGACGGGACAGCAATTGTGCGCACTTTGCTAAAGTCATAGCAAGTATCGAACGTGGAAACCGCCGGGGCTGTCGTGTAATTCATCATTCCTTTCCTGAATGCGGTTCTCAAGGCACTATAAACTGTTGGAGGCAATTGGGTAATGGTAGTTCCCGAGTCGATGATGGCACCTGCACTCAAAAAAACCGTTGATGGTATCGATAGAGGAATCCCTTCTACACTGATTCCTACTATACTTATTCCGTAGAATTCCGAGTCTTGTTGGACCTTTGATAACGGTGTGAACCTAACTGAACTCGGCACTCCGCCATCCTTGCCGAAAGTCAAGTGTCCGGTGGAGCTAGCGGAAGAGGGCAAGCAGTAGGAGAAATACTTGCCATATATGGCCGCAGTTTGTTCCACGATGGAGATATTGTTGTCAGAGAGTCCAATAAGCCCTGCTGCTCTGCCAAAGATGCCTGAGTTGTTCTCGCCACAGCCAAATCCAAAATTGTCTATCACCTCCGTCGGTGATATTGTCAACTTCTCAGTGGCGAGGAAGCCGTCCGAAGATGAATTGTCGTCATATGTGATGGAATATAGACATGTCGATCCAGAGCATCCCGAACCAACTAAAGATCCTAGAGCACAATACATTGCTTTAATTAGTTCTAGTTATTCTTGTGATGGTTTTTAACTTTTAGAAACCGAGATTCCGCATCTATGCTTGAAGAACATTTCGGTAAGAAGTCATACGTTCTAAGTGTCTCAAATGTGATTGACAATTACCAAGGGAGCATAATGTCGAGGCGCACGAGGCATTAGCATAGGACGATGATTGAGACGGGTTAAAGATTGGGTCAGGCTGAGTGTAGCAAGATCCCACGCACGGTTTGCACTGGGTCCATGTGAGGGGGCTTCCTGTGTCGAAAAGGAGAGTTAGGTCCTTTTTGGGTGTGCCGAGGCCGATTGTCACTACATAATCACCGGCGATGATGTCGGACTTCGCTGGAAGACTGGCTGCCTTTGAAGCTTTCAAAAGGTTGCTGCTGTTGGAGGATCGGGACTGAATCCACTTGACCCTTGATTCATCTCGGAGCAGGATCTCAGTGAGATTTAGAGGATTTTGGTCTTGAACGGGAGAGCAGGGGCCATTCTTGTGAACTACTTCCAAAGTCGACTTTCGGTTGCTAGCTAAAAGCATGTCGTGCGAGAGTAAGAGATTATGTGAAATAGTAAGTTAATAATGCATTGGTCAAGAAACAAAATGACTCTTCTATTTTTCCATTCGACAAAGACTAGTTAAAAGACTCGTTACCCATGACAATTCTTCATTCTACATATTGGTAGAGAGAGAGAGACCCACCTTTGGTGGTGGAAGGTGAGCAAGAAGGAGAAGGCAATAGAGAGCTAACTGACACAGTGTGGCTTGCAAGCTTCCCTTCTGCTCCATAAGTATAACCTTGGTGCATGAAGCAAGTCATGAGGACATGGAGAGAGAGTAAGAGGAGAGCCCTGTTAAACAGACAGAAAAATGAGCCCTCCATCGATCTGATACCAAAAGGAAGTAAAATGTATTTGCTTTTCCAAGTTTCTGCCAAGAATGCTCTCTGGTTCTGCCTCTTATGTAAGGTTTTTTGACCGGCAATCCGGCATAAGACTAGAAAGCCATACACGTCATCCTTCTTAATATTAATCAATTTTTTCGGTCTATTCGGTTATGTTATACGTAGTTCAAATGACTTACTGAAGGAACGAGCCCCCATTAGGAATCAGTCGCCTTCCTCCCCTTGACTTACTGAAAAGATAAACAAGTTTTTCTCCGACCCTTGGTGGGAGGAGTCCGACCATATCTTTGATTAGTCGGTCACTAGTGCGAACTTAATCCTAAAAATAACTACACATAACCACCAATCGGAGGTATGGTTTGGGGGAGTTTCCTCCGGCTAGAGTTATTGGAAAACACGGCCCAAAAGAATAATGGAGAAAAAATATGAATTAATATCTAGGGGTGTCAAAAAATAACCCGACCCGACCCGAACCGATCTGTTGACACCCCTACTAACATCCTGTAATGTTTATGGTGCAAAATGTTGAGCAATTAATCAACCACCAAGATGTGCACAAAATTGGTGTAACGAGATGAGAATGCCTTGTTGAACGTACGAATATGTGAAAAAAGGACATTATTACAAAATAACCTTACCCAATGAAAGGTTCATAGGTGTGGCTTGAATTAAGAATAAGTTCATATAAACACGTACTGAGATTATTTTAATTACTATTAATTATTCGTATGAGTGATGTTAGAAAAGTCTCGTGATTTAGAGTAGTTAATTATCATAGGATATGTAAAATATTCATTCATGGTGGTCGTTGTTCAAATCTTATTACGAATTTTATACTCGCTGTGACATGAGATTTCTTTCAGTGATGGTTGTTCTTGACTTATCTCCCAATTCTACTATTCTAAACCTATCTCGACAGTGTTTTGTGATGCACTTCCATCTTACATCAGTTTCAACCTAAATTATTAACGATTCTCGCTGGTTCGAAGACGTCGAAGTTCATGTTTGTTTTAAGGCGGCCTATGTAAAAAGGGGTTTAATTTAACAGAAAGACGAAAGATATTGAACTCTGAAATATGCTTGACAAACTTGACTAGTAGGAATACGATTGTCTATGTTGCCATTTGGAACATTATCGACATGTCGTTGATGTTAGGTGCCGGTGGAAACGGTCAGAAGCTCATGTCATGCAAAATATGTTTAGAAAGGAAATAATTAGACATGAATTCCATGCGAGGGAGGTGAAAAAGAAAAGTATCAAGTGGAAACGGTCTAAGCTCATGCCTAAGGAAAAGGTCCTTTGCGACATGCGAATGTTCGCATAGGGTAATCACTTAAAAAGTACTTTTTGCAGTGACCATTTAGGGATGATCGACGACTTATGTTCTTGTCGGGAAAAGCCCATGGAGATCAGAAGCTCGAAACTGTGTTGGGGCAATTAGGATAATCCCTTCTACCTAATGCTGTAAAACCCCAATCGGATGCCATATCGGTGAGGCGAACCATACGCAGCTCAAGCAGTTGAACCGAAAAAAACCGGGCGGGTTGAAAAATAACTAACATGTAAACTAAATCATAGTACTTCACAGTTCACACCTGTGCATCCATAGTTTTTTTTTTTTTGGTCGAAATAAAATTTCATTCATTTGTCAAGATCAAACATGAGAGGAACATAGAAAGCCTCCAAGCAAAGCAAATTCCGAAGAGCTGCAAAATAAAACATATGCGTCTATAGTTGAGTTGGTGGAGTTGCTTTTGTTTATTTTGGAGGTCATGCGGTTGAATCTCATCATATGCAAGTGCAACAATGCCCGAATTCAGGGGTTTTTGCATAATTATCCATTTTTTTAGATAAGTGTGACTTACCTTTCTTGGAAAAATTACCCAATCGGTCATAAAATTGTACAAATTCCAATTTAGTCATAAACTTTTTGGTGTTGCCAATTTAGTCTTAAATCTCTCTGCAAAATTTCAATATAGTCCTTTCGATTAATTCTGTCTAGTCATCGCCTGCCGTCCTATGCAGCACGGTGCCATATCAGCGATTTCTTATGAAATTTGACCGGAAGAAATACATTGTAGTTTCACACAAGGATTTAGAATTCAATTGATAAAGTTGAAAAATTTATGGTTGAATTGGCATCCGTACATTAAGCTTATGAGTGATTAGACAAATTCTCCTTACCTTTCTCTATCTCCTGGCTAAAGATAAGTAGTGGTGGTAATAAAAATAATTCTCTAAAACTTCCATCAAACAAAGACTTCGGTTTGGTTCGGTCAACTCATGAAATCTTAAAATTTCTTCTACGTGATGGGTGGCCGCATAGATTGATTGAATTAATGACTTAGGCTTTTGAACGGGTCGAATGAATAATCACTGCAATTGTATGACCAAGTCCCTCCACTTTGCAATTTGAACTGCACCAGATGTGAGTTAATCTAAAAGAGAAGGATCACCGGCCCATACGTCTTGTTCTGATTATCCTCTTTCCTTATAAAAAATTTCCATATTAATATGATTATTTATATGAACAAACTGTTTAAAGACTCCATGCAAGCACGGCATACTAGTCATTATCAAATTGGAATATAAATGCATTTATGAAAGTTCAAATATTATAAGGGCGTGTTTGTCTTTATGAAAATGATTTTCATGAAATGTTTTTTTCTAAACTTTCATGTGTTCGGTTCACTGAAAGTGGATAATAAACTGAAAATATATAATGGTCAAGGAAATGATTTCTACATCCTAAGAAGAAGAAAGCGTTTTCCAGAATTTCTTACACACGCATAAAGCTCACAGAGATTCAAAACCATTCTCACTTGAAGTGAGCATCGAGAGATTAAGTTTGCTAATTATTTGCATTTTCTATTTCTTTTGGCATCTTTTTAGGTCGTCTTATTTGATGACATAAAAATTTAAAATTTATACAAAATATGTTAGCAATACGTAAGACAAGGATTTCGATATCATCTTAGTATCTTACTGTAACATTCTGAATTTTCGATCCTTTTCCCGGGATTTAAGAAATGAATATTTTGGCCAATGCACTTATAGTGAGATCTCACCCGGAAATGAGCATTCACGGGATGCTAAACTTAGGTGTAAGGCCATTACGGGACTGAGTTCGCACGACCAAAGAACTCGACCTTGGTTCGACCTTCGACCATAAGGATTGACGAGGGAATGTTTTGAGCCAACAGAGACCGGTCTATTTGATTGATCGTGTCCAAAGGAAACTAGTGACAGACCCTCGCAATTACATGACAATCGAGGTCGCCTTGGTTCGAGCAAACTTAAACGTGATTGGACTTAGTGTCGGTTATGGGTCGAGAGCACGTAATCCCAACGAGCCACCCGTTAGCAAGAAATAAGCTAAAGCTGCGATTGTTCGATCTTAGTCATTTCTTGGAATTCGGGCCCGGGAATCGAGAATTTTGAAAGTGACAATTTTGAGCGGCCGATGACGTTTTTGGCTTGGCCAACCCTGGGGCCACCCGTTTCTGCAAAAAAATGAATTTCGGTTCGGGACCGGAAAAATTACGATTTTGCCCCTCGGGACCCCGACGTTGATTCTGAGGCCGTATGAGATTATTTTTCGAGGCCGATGTCATTTTAGGGTGGCCACGCATATTTGGAGTGGTTACGGTCAAAAATTGAAATTTTGGCCCGGGAAAGGAAAAATTATTATTTATTCCTCCGGATTCGCAGTCGATTTTCGAGAGCTTAGGAGGCTATTTTTACGAATCCGACACCATTTCTGAGTGGCCACACACATTTGGGGTTGGTACGGGCAAAAAATGGAATTTCTACCCGAGACCGGAAAAATGACCATTTTGCCCCTAGGCCAAATTTGATTCCGAATTTTGGGGATAATTAAGGAATTAATTGATTTGTATTTATCTCAATTATTGGGGCTAAAGACCTTTTTGCCCCTCAATTATTTTGGATAAGACCAACGAGGGCCGTTGGATCAAGGGCAAAATGAGAAGATCGCGTAGGATCGCGACACGTGGCGCCCACTAGCCATCATATTTGACCAGCTTGGACCATTTCTCTCTCTCCTCCCCCTCATTCAGCCAACTCTCCCGATCACTCTCTCTCTCTCTCTCCCACGTTCTTCTCCTCCTTAGATGTTCGGACACCATCACCGCCAGAGCTGCTGCTGCTGCTGTTCCGCCCGTTTCAGCCACCCATCCAGCTAATTTGTCCCGCCTTTTTAGGGTAAGTGACTTCCCCAAACGTTACCTAGGACCTCGGGTATTGTTAGACATGTTTAGGGCTCGGTTTGGGTAGTTTAAACGGCTGTTTTGGGGCTGAGATAAGGGCTGTGATTTTCTGTTCGGCGCGTAGATTGGATAGTTTGATTCGGCAATTAATTGCGTGAAATTGCCGTGTAATGCCGTGATCGTTGTGGTATGGTAGTTTGAACCTTGTGGAATGAATTTTGAGGGCTGAAGTTCGGTGGGTATCAACAAGGACTCGGATCCTTGAAGTTTGGGTGAATCTCGAAATTGTGTCTTCTGTACCCTCCCGATTTGCTATTTTTGTAGAGATTTTTGGAGGCCGAATCAGGGGTGGTGTCCTTCACGAAAGTTTTTCCTCACATCTTGAAGTATAACATATTTTAAATTTGGAATTTTTGGAGACCATTTGGGTCGCACGAAGACCCATTCTCAGACCGTATCAAAACCGCCCGGAACACTGTTCATCCCGACCTGCTTGTCTTGCCGAATTTTTATAAAATTTTCCAGATCTATTTTCAATAAACTTCCTTCACGAAATTTGTTGGTGACTCTCTTTTCTATGACATATAAAAATTTCAAAGCTTTTCAAGGTGATTTGGGTATTGAAATAAATGTATTTTGAGGACAAAACAGTCTGTTAGAGCGAACTGATTTTGGTCTGATTTCGAGGGATAAAAAGGCATGGTTGCAGATTGAACCGGATTTCGTGTTCTTCATAATAAATGTTGATCAAGATGTGTTTTATGATATATCCAAATTTTAGAATTTTTGGAGTTCGTTTACTATTTATTTTGATGGGATTTCGGTCACCGTGTAAACTGCCCAGATTTACCCTGATTCTATGGATGTTTATTTTTTTGAGCGAGAAATTATGTGTGACCGCGTGCCAAGCCAAGCATGTGTGGCCGTGTGACGTGATTGTGTGATGGTAATGTGTG